GGGCTCATGTTCCAGGTTCTCCTTAACATTATAAACCTGCCCTATTAGTCATCATCATTTTTATGATGAGAAATTTCTCAGTCCTTTGCTGTCATGGCTTCTGGTCTTAGCCTGTAATAGACCTGAATCTTTTCCACTTTACATAGTAGTCCCTCATATTGTGTCTCTTTGAGCCTCACTAGAGACCAGAGAGATATTCAAAGCAAGCAACAGCCCCAATTTACAGATGAGAAAACATAGGGAGAAACAAGGTAAGCGGCTTCCCCAAGATCAGAGCTGTGGCTTAAGGGCAGTTCTTCCTCTTGGAGGGTCATTGTGGACAGGAAATGAATGTTAGTGACATCACATTCAGCAGAGCACAGTCACCTGGTTTTGGTGTTCTGGGTTTATAGAGATGGGAAAGGCCAGACCCTGCCCTTGAGGGGCTGACAGTCGGGATCTCCCTTTGCCACATTCTATTGGGACAGCAGCTCTAGTTCCAAGAAAGAAAATAAGGGTGAACGCAGATTTTCCATGACTCCTCACCCTTTGTTTCGGAGGGGGGAACTGGCTGTTGGAGGAAGAGATGGCTTCTACAAAGAGAATTTTGGAATGTAGAATTCTTGTGGCTGAGAGAGAACTTAGAGCTTTTTGAGATGTGGAAATGGAAGCCAGAGATATGACCAGCTATTTAGTTGGTGGCAGAGGTGGGACTAACTGTAGCCCCAGAACCTCCTCTCTCTTCTCACCTCTTAAGTTTACATGTTATATGCCTTGTTAGGATGGGTGAGTGCAGGCTTTGGAAATGAAGCTGAGTTCCAGGTCCCTCATTAATCCTAATCCCTCCCCCCCCTTTATTTTAACTGGTAAAATATAAAGTAAAATCGACCATCAGTCATTTTTAAGTGTCCAGTTCAGTGGTATAAATACAGTAATAATGTGTGCAACTATTACCATCATCCATTTTCATAACTCTCTTCATCTTGCAAAACTGAAAACGTATACCCATTAAACAATATAACTTCCTATTCCACCCTCCTGATAACCACTATTTTATTTTCTGTTTCTATTTAATTATACTTCTTTTTTTTTTTTTTAAATTAGGGGAAGTGGTCCCTAACATTCCAAAGGAATACTGAAGTAAAATGTATTCTCTTATTTTTCTTAAGTTTTTGCCCATTTGTTTTTCTAGGGATAATGAATACTTAGTCTTAATTTGTTCTGAAGTGTTTTTCTTTTGATTTGGTGTAAAGCCACAATTCAAGGACAGGTCTGCCTGCTGCTGCCTGCCTCCCTCCTGGCTTCTCCTTCCTCCCTCCCTTCCTGTGTTCAAAACAGATTATTTTTTAAAACTATTGGATATATGTTGTGACCCTTTCTCCACAGTAGCTGGAGTTTTCTGTTGTGGGGATTCATTTTTCTCTATTATTTCTGAAGTACTGACCCTTGGCTCAGACTTGCATGTAAAAATACACCATTGACTGCCCTCCATTCATCTTCTCTCTCTCTCTCTCTTTTTTTATTTTGTAAAGCCCCATTTTCATCATCCCATCTGTTGTGCACTTGATCAGGTCTTAGTCTTCGTGGTGGAATTGGTCCCTTGGCAGTAAGAAAGGAGCCAGCTGTTTCTTTAAAACAGAACAAAACAGGAGCTCTTAAGTGTACATCTTTCCCCCAAGTTATACTGGCTTTTCCACGTGCCACCATAGCCTGTGACCCTACCAGGTAGTCGCCATTTCCAGGCAACAACCAGTGGATCATCAAGAACAACACCTGCTGTGTCACACACAGCACATACACACAACACATATTTCTGTAGTGAATGGATGAGTCCAGTCAGAGTGGCGCTTTGGGAGGAAAAGGGGTTTTAGTTCTACGAAGGGAGTAGGAAGACGGTCCTGTACTGAGCCCTGACAGTGACTATATACCTGGCGGAGAGAGCAGTCAGGTTTATTTGAATGTCAATTTGTTGAGGGAGGAAACAGATGGTCTACAGGACAGCCTGGCTACATTAATTTTATTTATATTTTATCTGTTTGAACAGATAGTGCATGCACAAGATAAAACACTTAAGGAGATGTACATTATCTTGTTCATTATACCAGAGAGATTTTCTTCACATACTAATTTTGGAAGTCATTCCATACTACTACAGACTGAACTTCCCAGTTCTTTTTTAACTACTGCATAGTATTCTATTGTATTGCAACTTATTTAACTAGTTTCCCTTCAATCTTTTGCCAGTACAAATAATGAAGTGAATATCCTGCACACATGTGATTTCTGAGGAAAGATTCTAGAAGTAGAAGTGGAATTTTGTGCATTTTCACAGATTGTCCAAGGAGTTTTACATTAATTATAAAATACTAAATTTAAGATTGTTTACCACTTAACATTTCCTTCTGAACCCCCAGTCCTCTAAAATCCCTGCCAGAGTGAGCTTTCTAAATGAATTTGGTGTTATAACTTCCCTGTTTCTAATCCTTATAAGTTCCACATGGTTTCAGGGTACAATTTAAATGCCTTAGCCTCCCCTCTGTCTCTAGCTTCTGCCAGGAGTGTTGTGCTCCCATTGCTTTGATCCGCTTGTATGCGGTATCTCCTTTTACCCCCTTCTTTTTCATTGGACACATCCTTTTGCAGTGAACCTAGCAGCACTTCCTCTCTTGCACAGAACATCTAAGCACCACTCTGATCCAGCCTCGTCCATTCACTGCAGAAATATTTGTTGTGTGCATGCTGTGATGTCATTCTCGGGTGTCATTCCTGATGATCTACTGGTGTTGCCTTAAGGGAAAGGTGACTACCTGGTAGGGTTACCGGTTGTGGCTATATGTAAAACAGCAGCACCAGAGGGCCCATTGCTAACTGGCTGGTGGCCCTGGGCATGTCCTTTAACCTCTTTAGACCTTGATTTGGTATCTGTCAAATGAGGAGACAAAGCCTGATAACCTCCAAGGTCCCATGGCTCAGATCTATTATTACTGTATCAACAGCTGGCAGAGTTTATTGAGGACTTGAAAAGTTTGGGCATTGTGTCAAATACTTTTTCTAATCCTAATCCTTACATCAAACCTATGAAGACAGTATAGTTACTGTCTCCATTTTACAGAAGAGAAAACTAATGCTTGAGAGAGTAATTTGGCTATAATAGAAGCAACATTTGAATTCTGGCATTCTGACTCTATGGTTCTTAGACACATAAATGTATACACATCCCACACATTTACATACCCACAGTTTTGTGTACTGTTTTGGGTCAGTCACAGATTCCACCCCTAGAACTCTCCACGAACCATCCTGTTCTAAAACTAAAAAGGCATAAATTGGAGTCTGGGTAAAAACTGGCAACAAATGACTGCAGTCACAAATATTTGTGGGTAGTGGGTAGTGGGTGAGGACCCAGTGGTTAACTCTGTTCTTAAACCCCTGGGTCTTACTCATTGAGGATATGACAGATGTTTTTTCTTTGGACTGAAACAACTCATTGCTGTTTGCAGTAACACTCCTTTCAAAAAATTGGTACCCAAGGATATGTTTAGAGAGAGGAAGAGGAAGAGTGAGCGCAAGCGAAAGGAAACAGAGATGTGAGAAACATTGATTGGTTGTCTCCTGTATGTGCCCCAACTGCAACCTAGGTTTGTGCTCCGACCAGGAATTGAACCCAAGCTTTTGGTGTACAGGATGATACTCCAAACAACTGAGCCACCTCGCTTGCGCTGCAGTCGCTTTTTATAAGGGGAGCATAGGTCTTTTTAATGGAGATGGAGGTGTGTATGGAATTAAAATTTAAAAAGAAGCTTAATCTTACTTTTGGAATACCTATTATAAACTAGGATAAATGAAATCAAATGAGTTAAGTAAAATATAAGATCCATATAATAATGTATCATCAACCCAACTGCTTCCCTGAAGGCATGTAGAAAAACTCTCTTAAAGTGTCATGCTCAGTGGTTAGAGTGTCAGCCTGGGAACCGAAGGGTTGCAGGTTCGATTTTGGTTAAGGGCATGTACCTGGGTTGCAGGTTCCCCACTTCATTGGGGCATGTTCGGTAGGCAACCAATTGATATAGCTCTCTCCATCGAAGTCAGAGTCAGTCAGTCTCCCTCCCTCCCTCTCCTCTCCTCTCCTCTCCTCTCCTCTCCTCTCCTCTCCTCTCCCCTCCCCTCCCCTCCCCTCCCCTCCCCCTTCCACTTTTCCTAAAAATCAAAGGGAAGAATATCCTCCAATGAGGATTAACAACAACAACAACAAAAAGTAGAAGTCTTGTACCCTATTTTTTTTTTTTTAAGATGCTGATTTCTACTCTTCTGAAGTCTTTATCTGAACTAGAATGGATGGTAGGACTAATTAATAATTGTAGCCATCCTCTCCCACTCATTATCAGGTATAGCCAACAAGTATGGCCTCTGGGATCACAGGGTGTTGCGTGAGCTGTTAAGTCAGAGTCAGATCCTAGGGCTCATCCAGCCTCAGGCAATACAGAAGGCCAAGCTAGGGGCCCTTGGCTGCCATTATTGCATTCCTTCTCTAGGCAGTGTAGTTCTCCCTTTAAGACACGTGTTCTCTCTATGTTGAACTTACTGAGTCCAGGTGTCAAAGGCAAAGCCACGCTCCAGTATAGCAGCTCTGTGTCAGCTGCTGCCTCTCTCTTTCTGTGTGCTGGAGCCTCTGAGGCAGGCAGCCAAGCAGAGCCAGGGCAGTCTCTGAAAGCTTTGCTGTGACACAGAATCTCCAGGTGAGCCCATGCTTGTCTCCTTGTCCTATCGTAAGGATCCGGCTCCTAAATGCTGATGCTGCTGGCAGCTTGCTGCAGGCCCTGGTATTTCTCTAGGAAGGAGTTGAAAAGCCACCTATGTGCTTGTCTCTTCTTCTGAAAGCATGAATTCAGTTGCTAGAAATCTTTCAACTTTGTATATGATTATGGCTTCTTTAGAGCAAAGGGCCTACTTGTGACATATGGGTAAAGTTTTCACCTCACTTATGTCTTGTTTTTTTTTGTGTGTTTTTTTTTCTATAGGTGAATCTACACCTGGCTGACTTTAGAATTCTTTTGGCTTTTAATTTTTTTCTTTTTAAAATAACTTGGACGGATAAAAGATGTGCCATGGCAGGATAGCACCAAAGAGCACCTCAGCGTCTGCCGTGGCCTCCGTGGGACATGGAGCGTTCCTTCCACTGGTGATCCTTAGCACCCTCCTTGGAGACGGACTTGCCTCAGGTGAGTCCTGGCCTTCGGCCGTCTGTCTGTGGGAGGGAAAAGACACAATACCCTTGTTTCTCCTAAAAGCTGGGATAGGGTAGAGGTCTGCATACCGAGGCTCGCGAGCCACATGCGGCTCTTGGGCCTCTTGAATGTGGCTTGGCTTTAGAACCGCTTCTTCAATTGGGAGGAACAATTAATGATTCTTTGTTATAGCTTTCTTCACCACACACACAGATTTCTTCTGCTGATCCCTCTTATTCTTACTTTTAACCCAAACCTGTCCTATAAACCTGAGACTTCATTGTCTGAGGAGCCCCTGGCATAAGCAAGGGGGCCACAAATGGTTAGGACATGATGGTTATATGAGATTGCAAAGGAACAGAAGGCCAGCCTACACCAATGTGCAACAAAATGAAGCATGGCCTATGTTCATAGGGCCATTCCAAAGCCAGAGGAGACCTCTAGAATGGTAGTCATAGAGCCATAGAATGTGGAGACCCTCTCTTGTTCACCACTGTATCTCTAAAGCAGGAGTTGGCAAACTGGTCCATGGGCCAAATCCTACCTCTTGTCCATTTTTCTATATGGCCTGTGAGCTAAGAATGGTTTTTATAATTTTAAATAGTTAGGAAAAAAGTAAAAAAAAAAATACTATTTCACAATACATAAAAATTGTATGAAACTTACATTTCAGTATCCATAAATAAAGTTTTATTGGAACATAGCAGTGTTTATTTGTGTACATATTGCCTGTGACTACTTTTGTGTTATAATGGCAGAGTTGAGTAGCTGTGACATAGACTAAGTGGCCCCCAAAGTCTAAAATGTTTACATTAAAAAATATTTTGCCCTTCATAGAAGAGATTTGCCATCCTACCCCAGTCCAGAACAAATAGTATTCAATAAATATGTGCATGAATGGAATGGCTTATCAGAGCAGGAAGGGAGGAAGCTAGGACTGGTCAGAGCTAGGACGGACTTTAGAGGTTGTGCACTTGCCCAGAGTCTGAGAGCCAGCACCAGAATCTGGCCTAGTGCCTGCTGCACTACCGTGACCATCCTCTTCAAGACTCCATTGGGGAAGCTGTCTCAGCTTGTTACCTGGCAGTATTAAGGTCTTTCTTCTGTGTCTGAAGTCGTCGTTTCCTTTTATTTGTTAAGGCCCCCCCCCCCACACCTTCCTTTTTATGGGCTTCCCTCCTACCTCCTCCCACTTTCCAAAAATTCACACCATTTAAAGTTTCCATCCAAAGTCCAAAGTCAGTGATCAGAGACTGATGTTTCCAGACTGGCTGGATAAAGGGATTATTCTCCAGGGTGGAAAAATGTGTCTATAGTGTGGGCTTAGCCCAGAATGGGAAAGTTACCTCTGTTGTTTTCTACCTCCTTGCTCCCATCTACAAAGAATCCTTTCTCCCCTGCCATCCACCCTCCAAGTCTTTCTAATCCCCATAAAACATGTGTATTGGCATTGAGCAGGGTGCATGCAGGGGAAGGCGTTTCACCGTTTCTTAGATCTAGTGCATGAAGTTGCTGTCAATATTTCTCTCTCTCTCTGAAGTAGTTTGTGGAGGAAGGAGGTACTTACTCCTTGGCCTGAAACCTAGAGCACACCTGTATGGCCAGGCCTGCCATGAGCAACGTGGCAAGCAAGCTTGCCAAGAAACTAAGATTCTCAGGTACTCTGAAGTCACGGGAAAGCAGTTAGTTGAGGAAAGGTCTCGTCTTCGTCCTGCATTTCTTAACTTCTGTAGCTACCTTCTGAACACCCATTCTAGAGGCATTTTAAATGAGGTGCTTGTAAACTCACAGCCTTGTTATCCAGTGGGTTCTAGTAGACCCTGAATATGTTAGTGTCCATGTGCATTCATGACTGGAGATCCAATTGGACACAGGTAAGCGTGCATATTCTGGGGGAAATTTTGTCTGCATAGTCTCTGGTCATAAATACCATAGTCACTCATTAGTCTTGGTCATACTTGCTCACATTTAGAAGAAAGGAATCATGTAAAGAGGCACTTGAGAGTTCTAGAATAAAGTTACATCATGTTTGGGTTTAAATTTTCCATCCTAGTTTCTCTTATCTATAACTCAGAGTTTATTTATTGTTATAAAGGAAAAAGGTATAAGAGAGTCATTGGATCTAGATTCCACCCAGGTCATTCCTTTAGCAGAAAGGAGAGAAATGATTGAACGTTTCCTTTTTAAAAGTGGCAAAAGGAAATATATCTTATTCTTCATACCTGGTCAATCATCCAGGGGAAGATTAGAATTAAAAATAAGATTTATGCACATACTACTCAACTTGCCTTAAGGGTGGTGGGCTAAAGAGGAATTAGGATACCAGTTAATTTTGCAGCCTCTCCCAGACCTCACAACTCCTTTCTTTTACCTGTGATCTTAAGAAACTTGCTATATGACTTTAGGCAAATCACTTGACCTCTTTGTCTCTTCTATAAAATAGAAACAAGATACTTAAGGATGCTAGTTTGGTGGTGTGTAGACTAATAAAAATGATTGGAAAGCACTTGACATATAAAATGTGCAGTGTAATTTCCAAATAACTACAACAGAAATCGTATGTGACCTACTGTTGAGTCAGTTGGGCAGGATACTTTATTCAGATGACATAATTTACTGTCTTTCAAAAACAAAATTGAAGATGCAAAGTCACTTTTTGGTTCAGAGATAAGGTGTCAGACTTGACCAGGAAGGATGAAATACTTCTGAAATCTCCTTTGTCTTCTATGTTTGCATAGTTGGATGGTCTCAACCCAACTGGCTTGCTGACCCATATAAAAAGCTTTTTTATTTTACCCTACCCCCTCAGCATATTTACTGAAGAAACTCAGTATTTTATTAGTTTATGAATTTTTTCCCCTTAAAATGTTGCCATAAAATTTTAGGCCATGTTAAATATCACATAAGTACCTAATGCAAATTTAAAATGGCAGGAAAAGCAACCGTCTGTATTCGTACGTGGCAGAGAGAAAGCCAGGCACTTAGTGTTCACTGAAGATGGAAAATGTTGAGAACTAGGCTTTCAGGGGGATGGTGTGGCTGTGGCCCTTAACAGTGCTGTGGCAGAAAGATGTTGGCAGGTGGCCCTGGTTCACCTTCCTGTGTCTGAGGAACCTGGAGTCAGAGATAATGGACACTGAACTAAGAGAAGAGAACAGATAGGAAACTGATGCATATAAAAAATTATTTGTCAGGCTCTGTGTTATCATCCCATTTAAAGCTCTCAAAGTGTGTTTGAGTTAGCTGATCATGCTTCCATTTTACAAATGAGAAACTCAGGCACAGAGGGGTTAGATAACTTGCTCAGAGACAGGCAGTTGTAGGTGAGACACTGGTTGGGATTTGCCTGTCTGTCACTCTGTTGTCTTGTGGTCTGCTGAGAGCCATCCTGTGCTGAGTTGCAGGCTCCTCTGAGATCCATTCCTTATGGTGCTCTATTGGAGTAATCAGCTCAACTTTCAAAAGAGTATTTTGACAAATAAAGATACCATCTCTTTTTTCTTCTGGATAAAGGATGTAGGATTTACCATGCTTCCCTCTGTGGTTGTTTCTGTCCTCATTTACCATTGCTCTTGGTTGTTTGGTTCCCAGTTTAGGCACAAGATTTGCCAAGGCAGTTCTATTCCTGGGAAGGATCAATAGAGGGACCACAGCAACCTGTTTGGTAAATGAGGATGTAGTTCCCAAAACATCCACAGAACATCTTCCTGTCAGCTGCAACCCTGCTGACAAAGTGACATAATCTCTCCATGGTGTAATTACCTGTGACTATAAAAAGATTTGAGGAATGTGGTAGGAGGATGTGGATAGATCATTAGAGGGCTTGTTACACTTTGGTGTCATGAAAAAACATTGAGAAATTACCCTCTGCAGGTTAATTGTTGTGCCATGTTTAGGACATTGCAAATGCGTGATACAAACCTTGCACTGTAACTTTTGAAACAAAAGAAACCAGGAGTCCATCAGCCTGAAACCTGAGTGGGTTATGGCCCTCATTAAATACAGATTCCATTTGCCAAGCAAAGGTGCCCTCTATCCTGGGCTAACTTTAGAGCTTGAAATTTACCCTTCCTACCCTTTCTACAAAAGTAGGACACGGCGCTAATTAAAAAAAAAATAATAATAATAATAGAAGAACTAGGGTTTAGCACTCAGTCTTTATTTCTAGGCAGATTTGCAGATCAACTCTTTTTAGCACCTGTTACCCATTGAAAGCTTTTGTCCTCCTCATCACTCAGAAGCATGAGCCTGCAGAGGGTTTGAGCAACTCTCCTAGTCCAGGTGGCTTGTATTGGTGTGGCTGGCTGCCTGGACTGTGGTGAGATCAGGAGTAGTGACCTTGGCTCACCTCATGTTTAACTTTGGGGCCTAGAGCAATAGCGGCATTTAGAGACAACCTGTGGGGTGAGTGAGATAGGTGCTGACTGCTGGCTTCTTCCAGCCCTGTTCACCTACCTCACCATAAGCAAACCTAAAGCATGAAATGTGAATTCACTGGAAGATGAGGATGAGATTATAACTACTGAAAACCCCTAGGGTTTCTCTTGTCACTGGAATAGGATTAAATTAATAAATGGCAAATGCCACTTGCAGTTCTTATGGAGCCACTGAGGTCACTAGGATAGCTGAGTATAATAACAAGCTGTCATTATGCTCCAACCCCATCCCTTGGTTTTTAGAGAGGCATGTACTCTGATTAAAAGCATGGACTCCAGTCAGAGTGCTTGGGTTTGAGTACTGCCTATACTCCTAGCTACCGGTGTTACCTTGGATAATTATCCTGACTTCACTACCTTTGTTGCCCTAGAACAGGAATGATAACAGTGCATAAGATTGTTGCAAGGATTGAATAAGATAGTATATATATGTAAAGCACTTAGGATAATGCCGGGCATACAAGGGAATAATTCTCAAGTTGGAAGATCAAATTGTAGCACCAATTGGTACAGCCTATACTTCTGACATCACAGCTAACTAGTTAGACAGACTTGGGG